TGGGGAGGTGTCCCTGCCCATGGCAGGGGGGTTGGAACTCGATGATCTTCAAGGTCCCTTCCAACCTAAACCATTCTATGATTCTATGATTTACTAACTGGCAATGCAGGTATCAAAACTGGAGGCAGAAGCAGGGAGGCACAGATACTAAGGGAAAAATAAATATGAAGGAAACCAATGACAATTCATTGCTACTTGAAGTGTGCATTGTGTCAACAAGAACTTCTGCCATGAGTCAGGTGGGAATTCAAGCACAATATTAAGGTCATTAAAAAGGAAGTAGAGACAGTCCTGAATTCTGTCCCAGAAAACTATAAGAAAAGAGGATTTATCAGTAGAAACCAACATCAGTAGCAGCTAGCAAAGGCAATGAATGAAATCAATAAAGCTTCAACCAAATATTCAAAGTGTTGATATTGAAAATATCTAAAGTTGTGTAAGATTTAAGAAGTATAAATACGAATGCGTCACTGCATTTCCCTAAGCAGTCAGAAGATGGTGTTAGAGTTTTCCTAAGACAGTTTACTTGTAGTAGTGGTCACTAAGAATAGTGCTAAATTCTCTACTTTTTGATAGAAAAAAAAATGAGTTGGAAGTTGAAAACACTAAATTATAGGGTTTTTTTAAAAACAAAACAAAACAAAACCCCTAAAAAAATACTTCAGTCTTTGGAAGCTGCCTTTTCTGTTAGATATAAAAACTAATGTCATTCTCCCATCTAAATCTACAGGGAACTTCCCCTGAGAGAAGAGTGAGCCTCACCTCTCCTGCATCTCCTCAAAGTCCATACCTACTTGTGGTTTAGGTTTTATCTCTTCCTACCACTCCACAGTGCAAGATGAGAGGCAGAAAAATGACTCGGTGCAGAACAGTAAGTGGCACAGAGTGGTATCATAGACAAAATCAATTGTCAGGAAGGGAGATGGAGAGGCAATCAGAGCCATGTGGGAGTCAGGAGTCACGCCACAGTCTGCTGCTTCACCTTGCAGTGGAGCTGTGAGGACAAGCTTGAGCACAGCTTCGACCAGGTAAAATGCTGTAGGCATTACATACTAATTCCATTAATTGAAACTTGGACGTTTCAAACATGTACAAATTAGGAGGTTTTCCTTCTATGGAGTCGTCCTACAAAATTACTTTCCACCATGTGTCCCTTTGGCCATCTGGCCTCTAACTAAATTGTCTGGTGAAACAGCTGTCAGCTGAAAGGCCACTTTGTTATTAAGCTCAATTGTTCATCTATCAGATTGTGTTGCATCTTTTGGTCTCGCAAAGAACAATTTTTCTTACATCAATCCATTTCTGGAGGCTGATGGAAAATCTCTCTCCTGAAAATGGTAGATCTGGTTCATTTTTTGTCCTCTGTCAGTTTGCAGCCCGAGCACCCTTGTTGCATCCTGCATCGCAGCGGTGAGACTTTTTTTGCAATGCTTGTCAGAAATTATCCAGGTATCATCATCGGAGCCTTCCACTACCACTCTACTATATTTTTATATGGGTGATCTAGTGGTCACCAATACTAGTGTAAAAAGCAGTGCAAAAAGCTTTTTTATTTTATTCTGAAATATGTTTTCTATATTGAAGTTAAGCAACTATTTTAGAATTCCTTTTCATTGGCAAATAGGTGATTTAGAGAGTGGGAACAGTTTAAAGACTTCAGTGACTTACTCTTTGTGTGTGAGCACTGAGCAGAAACTACAGTGAGAATGCCGGAGCAATGGAAGTAAGAGCACCAGATTTGTTGGCAATTCATAAAGCGACACCTATTTTATAGACTAGATATATAACACAAAATGCTGATTGCAAAACAGAGATGATGTTAAAAAAGATTAGGAACACATGGTTGCTTTTAAAATAGCAAATATTTTTGCATTGCTATTTAGGGTTTGCGACAGTAAACAAAAATGGAAGAATTAACTTTCTTCTTCTATGCAATCTGGAATTTGCAAGCTAGCAGGGTGGAATACTGAGGGTCTTGCCTCAGCGTCATTTAAACCAAGCTAACTGTTGAGATATTTATATCATCCTCACAGCATGGGTTTGGTAAAGAACCTCCTTGGTCTTTCACTGTAGAGCTTCAGTAGAAATTTAAACAAATGGGTTCAGTAATGTTGTTTTCATTCTCATGTTCTCTGCCAGGACAACCCCTGCCAAAAGCCTGTGGGCCTCCTGAGGCCAGGGAAAACAGCAGATCCCACCACAATGCTCTGTCAAATACACGTATTTTATTTTTAAATGAACTGGCAAGCCTAGAATATCCTTATGGCTCCATCCCCAAACCCTGAGTTTCTGTGTGATTATCAAACCCCCACCAACGTGATGGTGACCTTCCCCTCAGGAATGGTTCTTCAGGATTTGGGGAACTGCCAGGCTGTTCCCTTTATGGGAAGGAATGGACGACAAGAGGCAAGTATTTCTTTGCACGCAATCAGGTTCATTTATAAAGAACATACACGAGTTCTCTTCTCAATGGACACAGGGAGAATATCCAAGCAGCAGCCCCATTGCTCACAAATCCAAATCCATCGTTCCAGTAGGAAATATACTAAAAATCAATTGCTCTCCCATGGCACTGCTTACTGTCATCTTCCTTTTCAGCAGTTTGCTAGGCTGCACAGGCGAGCTCAGTCTCACCTTTCTTACCAGGCCAATAAAAATCCTTTATGCTGCAGTTTGACAAACTATTTTTTCAGCAGCACCAGGAAAAAAAAAGGGTTATTTTAAATTGAAATCAATCCCTAGACTTTATTCATCACCCAATGAGGCAAGCAGTCGGACTGGCACAACTTGGGAGGTAGCACGGGAGTCAAAACAAGCAGCAGAAAGCAGCTTCGCTTGGTGCGCTACCCAGTAAACAACACCCAGCCAAACCCCACTCACCCGGCTACACTCGTTCTTCTCATCGAGGTGCCTTGCTGAACTACCTAAATCCTCTGGAGGTATGTTCACGTTGCTTCCAACTACCCCTACGTCAGGGGACATACGTTTGTTTCACCCATTTAGCCTGGATTCACTAAGGATTCCCATTGTGTTACAGGAAAAAGCGCCCCAAAGACTTCTAAAGAAGTTGCTGGCCCAGAGTAAGATGTGATGTGACTGACTGATTACAAACAACCTACACAAAGAAACTTTATTTCTAAAATAAATTTCTTTCACTAAGAATTCTGATTATTTAGACCAAATGAT